AACATTTTTACATCTTTTCTAAAAAAAAAAATCTAGATTGAAGACCATTACAGTTACTTCTCAGGGACACTTTTTTGTCTGGATGATTGTTTTTGAGATTGAAGGGCTTGTTAAGGCCTGAACAGACTGGCCATGCAGCTTTCTGGTACTCCTGTGTGCCATTTACATCCCTGTGTTTGTGAAACAAAATGCAGAACTTCAATTGAAGCAGTGTGTTCTGCTGCTTGATCGCTTACTGGTTTGCCTCTTCCTCTGCTCTATCATAACATTTTTTTTTCTTAATTGGTCTTGCCACCTCTAAACACTGGTTCAGAAGGAATATCTTGGGCACCAATTCATCTTTTGCTTGTTGACAGATTCTCGATCTGTGCTTAGGCAGATGAGTTTAATTCCCTCCAGTCAAACACAAGTGGCTCTGGGATTTATGGTGCTTCTCAATCAAAAACACATCTGCATAATATGACGAGGATCGAGGATCTTCGAGGAGCCACATTAAAGCATCTGTCATCCTCAGAAGTTAATTAGTAACATGTGCCGTCCTCTGCTCTGTCCATCCCTCTGAGCTGAGCTGCCTCCAGGCTACAAGAGTCTATTCAGAGAAAAGGCCCGCAGAGCAGATCAGTATCAGACATAATGAGACGCTTTTAGGAGATGTGACAGAAGGAGAGTCTGAGAGATGTCAGACTTTAGTGATAATGAAGTCAATGCACTAATAATGGTCAGAGACCCACAGCCTCTCAATATACAGGAGGATATTTTAGGTGGAAATGATCTGTTGAAATTCAAATCAAGGTTGTTTAAAAAAAGAAAAATCAATGTCTCACGTTTTAAATGTCCACCGTATTTCTATTTCCTTCCATAGGTTTCCAGCAGACAGTGAAATGTGCTCATGAGCGGTCAGTCCATCTTTTCATTGACTCTGTGCTGAATAAAGACAAGCAGAGCATGGCTTACAGGTGCAGTGGCAAAAGTGCTTTTGACCAAGGCGTCTGTCTGGACTGTCGGAAGAATCGCTGCAACACACTGGGCTACAATATCAAGAAGGTCCATAGTGGCACCAGCAAGAGGCTCTACCTGAACACACGCTCTCAGATGCCTTACAAACGTATGTGGTTGTCATTGTCATTGTGGTTGTCATTGTCATGTATGTATCAATAGTCATTATATGTATTATATACTGCAGACCAACACTGCTGATTGTCTTTTCGTGGAAATTCAATAATTCAACAATCTTCTACTTCTTCTTCTTCTTCTCAATCTTCTCCTTGTTGTTGTTCTTCTTCTTCTCTATCTTCTTCCTTCCCTACAGTTTATCATTATCAGTTCAGGATCCAGTTTGTCAACCAGATGGAGGGGATAGAGCCCTCTCTTACCATCTCCCTCACTGGAACAAAGGAGGAGAGTGGCAACGTCCCAATCATTGTGTGAGTACTGTACCGCCATCAGGCTTACAGTACATCACATACGCTTGGTGTACTCTGTCTTTGACACATGCAATATGCAGCTGTGCAGTCAACCTTATGAAGAAAGAGGGCAAGTTAAGGGGAGCAGCTGACACACATGGAAACAACTGGAGCTGCTGCATGAAAGTGAACTATAAATGGGGATGATGGAGTGAATAATTTACTCAAGACACTATTACCCAACTGTGTTATCCTTCATGTTCTGTGTATCAAAGAGCCTGAGGCAAACCAGTGTAAGAAGACGAAATATCCCGTGCTGGCCTGCTGTAATTGGTGCCCATCACTTTGTTCTCTAATAAAGAAATGTGACAGCCTGTTGCAAGATGTTCCCTGCTGTAGTAATCTTACTCTGTCTGATTGTTTTTTCCTTTTTATACTCTGACAGCACTGGAAATATATCAGGGAATAAGACCCACACCTTCCTGATCGCCCTGGACAGAGACTTAGGGGATCTGATGTTGCTCAAATTGCACTGGGAAGGATCGGCTCTGTGGAAGAACATGTGGAACCGGGTGCAGAACATCATTCCTTGGGGCGGCCGGGAGAGGAAGCCACTGCTGACTGTGGGCAAGATCAGCGTCAAAGCAGGCGACACGCAGGAGAGGTACAGCTCTACCTTACTAGGCAGCAGTGGTTTTAAAGCAGCAATACTAATATACTAAAAGTTCATTACAGCATTTACTACATTCAAAAAAGCGTACAGGTTTAAGTATTAGCAACAAAAAAGTATACAAGTTCAAAAAGGTAAAGTACCCCTGAATGGCCCCTTTCAGATTTTCATTGTATTTTATTACACTAAGGTGTAAGCAGGATTTTAACGCTGTAGCTGGTAAAAGTGGAGCTAATTTGACCAAATTGATATACTATTGGATGTTAAATACATCAGCTCCTTAGTTGAGAATGCACACAAAGCAAAGGTCAGACCAATGGGAGCTTGGACACAATTCCATCAAAATTCAACAGAGCTCTCCATTGTATTCGTCCCAATTCGGAGCGGTATCTGAGGTTGTTTCTAGTTTCTTTTTATACAATCCGCCAATTAGTCATGTGACTTATAAATACTACAGACACCAAATATAAGCAACATTACAACAAGCCTTTCAAACATGCTTTTACAGTAAGTATTTTCAAGAGGAGGCTGTTTAAGATGATTGTGTATCATATTTTAGAAGCTGAAAATCATACTCTGCAAAACATCTAGCTGTCATATTAATGTAGTGAAGGAAAAAGGACTATAATACTACTATGAGATGTCGTGGAGTACCATAAAATGGAAATAGTACATCAAAACTGTACTTAAGAACGGTAGATGAGCAAATGCACTGTACTCATTAGTATTAGATGATTATTACTACTTGAGTATTACTATCAAATGCATATATTTAAGGTATCTGTCACATATGTACTATTTGAGTAAACTGTGCTGCATTATTAAATCATACTAATTACATACATTACAGATAAACCCATTCGATAAAGATTAAATGTACTTTTTCGCAGATACAATCACATGTTGCAGTGTCCCACTCTTGACAGCTAGAAAAAAACATCTACATTTACACCTTCACAGACTTTTAATGCCACCTAGTGGATTGTTTCGCACACTCACTGCTCCACTTCATTGTTCAAATACTTTAACAACACCGTGTCAACTGCGTTGTTTCTGTTTTGTAGGACGTCTTTCTGTGCCATGACAAATGATGGACAGCATGTTGAAGTGTCGCAAGATGAAGTGTTTGTGCGCTGTAAAGATGAAGCACCAAGACTGCACCGAAGAAAGCACAACTAGGCTAAAAGACTTGTGTGGGTTTCTTAATCTGTTTAACAGACTGAACATCTCTAATGGATGGAATGGCAGTTCACAATTCTGTAAACTCCCCAAAGTGAGGCTATGCAGATTTAAGGAGTAAATTACAAATGATTGTCTGAAAGATGTGTTAAATTATTAATAAGATAAGTATTGCACAGTGTACTTTTAGGAACCAGCCCATATTTACATTTTTGCCGACATACAAACGTCTTTCAAGGGTATGAAGAGTTGAAAGATTGCCAATTCAAATATTAAACTGACAGTGAACACAGTCGGACGTTCAATTACCTTTTGATGACGTTAATTACAAAGGATGTATATGCATTTCTTTCTATGTGTTGGATGTCAAATTATTAATCTCATTATTTAATGTTGTTATGTTAGTCTTGATCAGTACCATCATATAAATACACGTGTTAAATCAGAGCCATAAATATACACCCTTTCTTTTCTACATCTGTAAACTGTGAAGCAGGTTTAAACACAGCACTGAAGTAAACACAAGCTCATGTCAGACCATTCGGTAATGTCTCACATGTCATCGCTGCCCCGAGTGCCTGACTTTGATGGTGTAATGAGACAAGACTTAAACAAAGCACTGTAACCTGTTAAACAATCATAATACTACCTTTGGCAATTATGCAAAACAGGGAAAACAAACATTTGATCAACTCTGGTTTATTAATGCATTTCAAGTCATTCAAAAGAAATTATGTTTTTGCACAATAACTTTGCAAATTAAGTAAAAGTATCAAAGTAAGCAGAACGGGAAACTGACCAACAAATGTAAATAAAACCAAAAAGACCAGCAAAGACACTGTATAAGACACAGGAGACATTAAAATCAGACAGTAGTATTGAATCTATAACATTTTGGATTATTCGTTTACACCATTTACACTTCAGTGCACATTTTCTCAACATCATAGCGACACACGTGGAACAGAAAAAAAATCCCAGAGTATTATACCCCAACACCCAGTATTGTCCACATCTTACCATGTCAATAAAATGGATAGGGATGATTCAGATAAGAAGCTCTCACTCACACTCACGCAAAGCTTTAAAATTTGCCAAAGATAATAAAAAATATTGTTTAAGCTCCAGCCCAAGAAAAAGCACTACCAGTAGCACCAGAAAGACAAACAAAATCAGAAAAAGAAGCAACAGAGGATTGCATTTTTGTCCGTTCAGACACTTTGCTGCAGACATAAGTAACTAGTTTGTTATGAAAACAATTGAATATTCCATGTGCCCATTTAGGAGAAAACATTGAAGGCATTTCTCTGTGAAGAGGCTAACTTGTTTGCTGTTGAGCTCTGTGATACTCTGCATAGAATCTATCTGATCAAGAAAGCAACATCCTTACATCATGCAAAGAACACAATGCTGAGCGGCAGCTGTGCTCCATACAACATATTTGCAAAGGTAAACAAAAAAAATAAGTTCGTCTTTGCTCCACCAAGTTGTTCCCTCCTAAAATAATTTTAAGAAACTATAGATATACATATTGTTGTTGGTAACTGGTAGTATTCGGCCCTCTCATCCATCTGTCAGTGACGTTAACCCAAGTAGGAGACGACTGAAAACTCAAGTTAAGCCAAATTAGAGCTGGGGAATATTAAAATATTATACAAAGTAAATAATAATTATCTCAAAAAATCGGAAACAAATGGAGTATAATATGAAAATTTGGTTTTATATATATCAATCGTCACTTACATTTCTGATGATCATCATACACTGTCAAGCAGCTCCTGCTTGGTTTCAGCCTTGGTAAAGAGCACTGACACTAGTACACCAATTTCAGTCAAACTTCTTGGAGTAGGCACATTTAAACGCAATAACACAAACCAAGAGGGTGTAACAAGGGAAACAAAGTTCTTTGAGAAAATCCCGATCACTAGGAAAAGAAAGGACAGAACAGCGGTGGATAGCTGACAAATAGTGATTGTTCGCCAACAGCAGCAACAAAGCAACAATAAAATTAGAAGCTCTAGTTTTCCTCAATTGATTCAATTCCTCCACATATACAAGTAATCTGAACTGCAAGTGGAATCAATAAACGCTAAATCACATTTAAACCAGAACGGTTCCTCATCTGGATACAGAGGCTGAGAGGATCCAACTGCTCTTGAGTGGTTTTAACAGAATTTGTCATTTCTTACACAACTGCCAGTGTCTGAAATTCAAAAAGTGGACAGAACACAACGAGCAGGACAATGGGACACTTCTTTTCTGTAATAACTTCTCACATACGCAGGCTTTGTTGTCCTCAGAGTTAAGTTTGAACACATTCTCTGTTTTGGTTGCAGTAAAGACATACTCAGTAGTAGAAAGACTACGTCTTTATGTAAACGCAGCTGCGAAACCATTTAATACATATACACATCCAGATAATCCATCTCCCCTTCATCTGATATTAGAAGACACGATCATTTTTAATAAACGTATTTATCTAAATTATTTTCATAGAAGCTGTCCTCTACATCCCACAGCGTGACCCCTTCTGTGCAGGCTTCAGCCAGGAGGGACTCTACCCTGAAATACGCATGCAGTCATCTTTTCCACTCAACACACTTGTTTGCTGTTGTTGTATTAATCCTGAGAAAGTGAATTAAAACAGTAAATAATAACTTTAAGAAAATCTATTTCATTTGAAACACAGAAAAAGAAAACTACTGAAACACCTGTACAATTGCACACTGAAGGAATATATATATATATGCTTTAGAAATAAAAAGCTTTGATTAATAATCTAATTACATTGGCAAACAAAAAAAGAAGAGTTTTCTTCCAACTAATATCTCAATGCTCTTTTCGGTGGAAGTAAATACCGATGTGACTTGCAGTCCTGCCATCGTGCTGATGGTGGCAGCACTTGGCAGAGAGGAAGAACAGGGAAAGGAAAAGGTGACACAGAGGAAGGACAGTGGAGGGCGACTCTAGTACAAAGCTGCCTCTCTTTCCTCCATTCTGGTTTAAAAAAAAAAAAAAAAAAAAAAAAGCTTTCAAAGATTAAGACCACATAACAGAGATCAGTGAATTTCTCCTCCTGTCTTTCCTTGGAAAAAGGTATTATTTATTTCCTATAAAAGCTGAGTGAGTTTGCTAGGCCCAACAAAACATTTTGGGCTTTGTCCAGTGAAATCGATCCAGTTGCAAATTCTTTGAATTTTGCAATAGGTGGTAACTCTTTGGACTGAAGTGCTCATATTATAGGCACAAGGAAGAAACAAGGCAAAGAGCAGACCGGAGCCTCAGCGTCTCATCTGTCCCATTTGATAGTTCTCTCTGTGCTGACGTTGGTGGCGCTGGCCCTGTGCCGCTTGGTTTGCCTGTTGCTGCCTTTTCCTTTTCAGTGTACCTACAGGACATAAACATCTCGGTGAGGGTCAGAAAGAGGACAATGAAAACTGGAAATTATTGCTGCTCCTTTTTTACACCATCAGACAGGTTCCCACAGCAGAAGACGAGGTAAACATAGCAATAACATGTAACATCTTAAAACTGAATAGCAAATAAACAACACAAAAGTATATCAACATGTAACATCTGTCTCCTTAAGCTGCACTCATCCATGTATCTAAAGTGGGTGCATGTGAACATACATGTAAATATAAACACATATGATGTACTGTACCTGGCAGTGGCTTTGGCGGGGGCAGTTTGGGGTTGCTGCTGGGGGTGTGGACACTGCAGATTTTGATGAAGCCAGCCATTAGCATAATGAGAGCAATGCCCATCAACAGCACTGCCCACCAGTGAGCCTGGATAACAGATAATATGTATTAAAGGATATCTAAATGCAGGCGGGAAACATCATAGAAATAGTGTCTATATGCATTTGTGTCATTGTGTTGACGGGTCTTTGTTGCATTTGCTGTGTCGTGGGGCACACTCACCACTATCCACTCTGCAATATTTTCATAGAGCTCTGCATTGAAGATGGCTTTCTTCAGCCTTGCCAGAGGCCCGTCGGCGTCCACCAGACGACACCTCATGAACACGTCACAGTAGCCCTTAAAGTCATTGCAGGGGGAGCCGGGCTGCAGCGTTGTGGTCTTCATGTTGAAGAATTGGGCCAATTTCTCTGAGCCTGTACTGCTGCAGGTGGTGGGATTCACTGAGGGCAGAGAGAGAGGGAGGGAGTGACGTTTTGGATACCGACAATAACTCGGTTCTTTAGCCTGAAGATGACACAACTATTGTCATTGATGTCATCACATCATTCGAGCTTGATTGAGTATTTTTGATCCATGAACGGTTTTGCAGCCCGTCACTCACTTTTCTCCATGCAGCACACGTGGCACAGCTCGGCTGCCTCATCCTTTCCCTCTTCGCTGGCACAGGTGCATACCTCCAGACCATACTTTTCACAAATGGATCCAGAGCATACCTGTTCCAAACAAGTATGCAGAAAAAAAAAAAAAGCTTTCAAAACGTTTACTTTAAATACAAGCTTACAAACTGCTCATTCCAGACACAAAAAGAAGGTTAATTAATACTAACATACCCCATTGAGGCAGACTTGTGTTTCGGTATGGCAAGAGGTGAAGTTTGCCTTTGGTTCTGAGGTAGGACATTGAGCAGTAGCTCCATTACACGTGCCCTCTTGGGCGCACTCCGACTCCAGTCTGCATTCGTCATTTGTGCTCTTGTAAGTACACTCCGGTGTGCAACATGGGCCTTGGCTGGGACTGCAGAACAAGAGTTACGAATATATGCAGTCAAACAAATGCTATTAACAGCGATATTTGTGCTCAATAATTCTTTCCCAAATTACAGGACTGAACGAAAGCATGCTGATCACATCTGACCTGCAGATTTTGTTAGGTTGGAGCTTGCACTTTTTGCCCTCTCCTTCATTGGCGTTATAGCAGCAAGGGTCTTTACACTGATCACTGTAGCCGCAGTCGCACTCTTCTCCATCTTCCACTAGTCCATTACCACAGATAGGCTGGCCAGACTCTGTACACACAGACACAACAGCATGAAGACAGAATCTCTCTCACACACACTCAGCAAAGAAACGGTTATGTTTGTAAGAGAGAATTTACCAACGAAACAGTCATTTCTCTTCTTCGTCAGAACGGCGCTAATATTGCGGATGCTGCAGGTGGAGAACTTGTTATTGTTGAGCTTGTCCCCTGATGTGGCTCTTGCGTACATGATGTAGTTGCCCCGCTCCTTTTTGTCCTGCAACTTAGACTCTCCGGGGGTGCATTCGATCCCAGAGTCATGCTGTAAAACAGTAGGCAAGTAAAGGACAGAGAGACTTAAGAGAGAGATGCATATAATATATTGCACATCTTGAAAAAAGAAAGAAGTGTACTAGTAAAGTCCAGTGTTTTAAATCATAGTACTTACAGGAGAGCCAAAGTTGTGCCCAACCTCATGAGCAAAAGTAATGTGGGACACCTTGGGAGGGACATGGGAGGCGTAGTTCTGCACAGTGATGATACCAGTGTTCAGAGACTTTCTCTTCCCATCAGAGTACAGTTTGCTCTTCTCACAGATGCCCCCAGAGCTTCCTGTGGAAAGAGAAGAACTAGAATTACCGCCTCGTGGTTGCATGCCTCCACCAACCGGTCAAGTTGAAGTTTACATCCGTATGACATTTGTGTAAGATTTTCATAATTAGCATATGAATTTTTTTGACCACCAAATTTGAAGAAATTGGCACGTACAAACAGAAGAACGGACAGACAACCTGACAACATTATGCCTCCAGCGAGGCTGTCATAAAAACATACGAGAGCAGAATGAATTATGATACTATTTAAATATTAGACAAGATTTCATGGAGAATGTTGTATTTTAACATAGAAATTGGGTAAATTCACTGTTGCAGAATAAAGTTAAACAATCATCAAATGGGCTCAATCGGCCTCCATTAACAGCATGGCTGTTGCTGTGAGCTAGGTAAGAGTTAGGTGATCATTTGAATCCTGCAGCCAGGTACAATAGCACATTTAACACCAACACAAGTATGCACACGCGCGCACACACACACACACACACACAATGAGGAAGAGGAACCACTAGAAGATCAAGGCATATGCCACAGATCAACAGAGAATATAGATTTTAAATAGGCACTCTTATGGCATTATTAGCATTATATTTTTTACTCATGAGGTATTCATTTCCTTGTTTTGGCCATCATTTGCGTTAGTCATATTAACATATTTCATGTAGACATTCTGAAATAACTAGACACAACTTGATCAAGTGAAACATAACTATTGATGTACAGGTTGTACACCTACAACGCTGTATAGCCACATACATAAACGACCAAAATATAATCCAAAGAAGTGAAAAGTAACTCAAGTAACTAGACCAATGACTTAGAAAGTAAACGTTATAACCTGCTATGCCTGTTTATAACTGCCCAATGCATTGCCTCAAGGCACCTTGATTCAACATGTACGAATGATCTACTGTACTATACACACAGTTACAAAAGTACTACTATAAACATAACTGAGCATGCACATGTATAAATGGACATAAAAAGATATGTAATGAAGAGAATTAAGATACATATTATACATATGAAATTACATATTACATATGAAAAATATATATATATATATATATATATATTGTATCTAAACACACCAACGGAGAAATAATTAATCAATGAAGCAAAATAAATGATACAATTGGAAAATGTAGCTTTCATACAAAATATATGAGACAGAATACGCTGACAGACGGGTGGTAGTGGAAGAGTTCTTAATGTCACTATAAAAATAAGATAAAATACAAGGAAGGGAGAATAAAAAAGAACTAATACTAAGACTTGGTGTCTTTGTTTTTGTCAGTGCTGTAGATGATATTAATTTCCTTAATTATCACAGTTCTAATATTTACGATGGATATTGTTTGAGGGGGGCTTCGGTAAAGGGTTGGTTTAGTTTTGTCAGGAGGGGGTTTAAAAATGGCTGCATGCATCTCTACGTTGAATAATTGTTTGAATAATCTTTTTTTTATGTTTCTATTTTTTGAGTCATTTATTTAGAATATATACAGTATATATATACATATTTGTCACAAAACTAATCGGATATGTGATGAATCTGATGCTATTTCTGTACTTTTTACTAATTATCAAAAATAGCCAAAAAAAAGACCATCTAGAAAAAAACAATGAAAATCACTTGCAGTCACAGTTAACAGTAAGCATGTCGGCATTGCAGTCGTTCTTCCCATAATCCATAAACCCAGACATAAAGAGGCAACTTCAGCTCCTAACCGCACAGAAACAAAGACAAGAGACCAAAGCACTTAAAGCAATAAACACAATGTGTCCATTATGTGTAAGTGTACACAAGTAGGGCTGCACATTATATGTTTACCGCACATGTGTGTGTGCGCGTGTGTGTGCGCAGCTCCTCCACTGAAGCAACAAAACAGCTGCTCACACTAAATAAGACACACTTTAGTTGTGCTCGTCCAGCATCCCTGATGGCCGTTCATTCTAGCCTCCCTTTGTTCAAATTATCACCCCACAGCTCACTGCAGCCCATTTTACTCTCATCTCTGATCCTCAATCGATTCTTTCAGCGTACAGCAGTGCCAATTTGCCCCGTATTGATTGTCTGTGGTTGTTGCTGTATTCTTCAAGTTGAGATGGTGGTATCTAAACTTATTCAAAGAAATAGGAAGGAGAAGCCACCAGGAGTGTAATCTTTATGAACAGATATATGCATATGAAAGCAGAACCTGGAGGCAACAGGACAGGATTTTGGCATCAGATGCTTTCTGCTTTTCCATTTGTAGATTGAGTAGTATTGACCAATCACGTTTGGCTTCGGTTGACTGCCAGGTTAACAGTCGGTGTGGACAGCAAAATAGGCAAAACTCATCCGAAAAGCAATTCTGTAACCCACCGGCTATCGTCTGACAACGATTTAGCTTTGAATGAACTCGTGTTATTCATCTGCATTAACATGTAGTGTAAACTAGCAACTTGTGAAACAACCAGGTTGTAGACGTCGTCTCTCAACTCAAACTCCATTCTTGCGTCTCGAGTTGCTAATCGGACCATAAACAATGACCAGAGCATGGTAGAGGAAGTCTTGGCCCAGATATCTGTTATTTGTATTATCTGCTGGCCACAGAATTATGGCCAACTACCCTCAGAGGCTAAGTTGTCGTCCGACTGATAACCAACTAAGATGGCCATAACTATCCTTCATACCTCGAGAAAAGTAGAAAGACTAACAAAGACAACTTTGGTGAGTTTTTAAATTCTTTAACACATTGCACAAACCCAGTGGGAAAAACAAATTATGAATCACATGAGTCACATTGTGGGGACTTGCCTTGATTTTGGGGGTAAAATCCACATCCAAACTCATCTCAATTTAACAAAATAATAGATGAAAATGTATCCAGCAAAAGATCAAAGTAGCAAATTGGAAGAATGCTGTTCAACTGGATGACCTGGAGTAAGTCGCTGTGTTAGAAAGCATCTACCCATCTTAAATGTCTCTCAGCAACACAGGAAGTGATTACCAGGATTGTGTGTGTGTGTGTGTGTGTGCGTGGTTGTGTTGTGTACCAACCTGAAGGAGCCCCAACCCAAGCCAAGCCAAGCACCCCATCATCAAAGTCCCTGTCTGAGAAGACATAGGCGAGGCAGTAGTCATCGTGGTTCTGCTCAGAGTTAAGCTCCAAAAACTTCTCCACTCCGATGTTGGAAAAGCGAAAAGGATTGGTTGTGTCTGTTACAGAACTGGTGGTGTTTATCTGAAAATAGGAGAGTTGAACAATTACACAAGAGGAGCGAGACCCCAAAACTTACAGAAACTGCAGAGCCACTCATATTAGCAGCTTGATTCCCTTCAGGTCAGTTGTTATATAAACTGAATCTGCAGCGGTACGGAGATTCAACTCACCCTGATCCTTTTAACCATGAAGCTGATGTTTCGAATGCCCAGGAAGTCAGTGGCTTGGTAAATGGAGTCAATAGCCTTTACGTGGCTGGATATCTGTGGAGAAAGTGATCAATTAGATTTGTAGGAAGCCAAAAAAGCAACATATGATAGCTAGTCTGTTATGTTTACTGCACTGAAGACACTACGCTTTGTCACATTCCCAGGGGCTGCCATTTCTTAAAAATGTCTTTCAAGTGATTATTTGATTTCACAGATGTGTGATTGAGTTTACAGGTGCCAGCCAAAGAGCCTCCAGACTTAAGTCATGGGTACACACTGTGTGCATACCTGGGCAATGACAGCCTCTCTTGTGCCATAGTATTTGAAGAAGAGGTGGTCAGTTTGGATGAAGAGCTGGCAAGTGTTTTTCTCTTTCGCCGCTGCCCTCTTTATCCTCAGAATAACAGGACCATGGGTGCTCTCCTCCTCCCTCGACACACTGTTCACATCCTGTCCCAAAAAAAAAACACCAGGATCAAAACGGAAGGAAGATGTAGCAGGGACACATATTTAAAAAGTTTAAAAAGAAAGAATAAGAAAGACACGCATATCCAGTGTCTGATAGGAAGAGTGCTGGATCAAAGAAATATCTAGCAGAATTAGAAGAGGTAGATTTGCACACCAAGTAGCTCCTGTTGGAGTGATGTGTAACGTTTTGAGCACCAGGCCGAGGAAGCCTGCTCAAAACATTACACAGCAATAAAAAGTATTTAAATATGTTTGCAAGGCTTTAACATTTCAAAAAAATCTGCTGTTAGGATTGAAAGTGTGTACACCTGTGCTAAAACATACACACATGTCCATACTGTGGGTGTAAGGTAGTTTGGATATGAGATAAGATATTTTTAATCTCACGAGCCTTGTTCATGTGTGATTAATTATGAGCCGGAAGGAGGGGGAGGGGCTTTGTTGTGATGCTGGCACTTACTTTCACTGGGTCTTCTACTGCAGTTGCCTGGTAGTTCCTCATCCTCTCCAACACCGAGTGGTCAGCGCAGCCGCCCTCTGAGCCATACTTATGAGGATAATCTGGCAGATAGGGAGGATATAAGAGGATGGTTGTGAAGGGCTTACACTGCCATCACGGATCTCTTTCGAACCACGTGTGGTGGGCTGGAGAAGGTGAATCAAGTTGAGTTGGGTGTTAAGAATAGCTGCATTTAAAAAAATAAAATTAAAAGCTGGAGCAGCTATGGCTTTACTCTCTACAAATCCTAACTGACAAGTCAGCGTCATCTTCCTCACTGAGCAGTAAAAGGTATTACCAGCTGATCTGCCTCTACTGATTGAAAACATTGCTTCTCTGTTCGAACCAGCCTTTTTCTAACTGCTGTGTAACAGAGTTCTCTCCAAGCTAGTACGCATACTGCAGTGAATCGTAAAGGGCAAATGAGACGGGGCTTCAAACAACGTCTGTGTACAGTGAATAGAATTTCCAGTTTTTAGGTTGAAGCAGTTCTGATGCCAAACAACGCTATTATATAACACTAATAGACTGCTTAGGGAATCCTCACAATATTTTCACAATCACAATCGCCGATGTGTTTCTATCTAGACTGCACACCGTGTACTAAATTAATGCATTTTTCTGTTTTCATAGAAACAAGACACACTTCTACAACATACGAGTCTGTGCCCCACTACAGCATGGCCATCTGGCTTCAGCAGCTGTCTTTACTGGATCACAAAAACAAGATGGGATCAGTCTTACGATACATAGTCACCACCTCTGCTGATAGTCACAACACCGCTCACCACTGGCCACACTCATATGGCAATCCAGCATCAAATAATGTATGATTCAAAGTTTCCCATCCTCTCTGAAAAAGCTATTTCAGAGAAAGAAGATATGAAAACGGAGACTGATGAAGGGGAATAGATCATGTTTATTTTGGGCTTATCGAATGTGAAAACATGACATACTGAAAGTAAAAAAGAGCACGATAAGTGCATTTTGTTCTCCAACCACACCTTGTCTGTCTGAAAGAAATCTACTTATTACTTCTAGACATTTTTAAAGTTGACTGGCAGTTTCCTATCAGCTGCAGTCTCCTGAGCAGTTATCAGTTGGTTGTAGTCTGACAACAGCAATGGATGTATTTTTGCAGTGCCATGCTCCAATACTGCATTTAGTACAGAAACTGACCACCTTGTCCAGAACCCAGACCCAAATCCTACTGCTACCAGTCTGTCAAACACAACCTTCTCCTTCAGCTTGTGAGCTAGTCTATGAACTGCTTAACCATCATCCCCTTTCTTCAAAACTCTTGCTACAGCAACTTATTCACCCTTTCATTCCTCACTGTACAAAATAAATGTTTTGCTCAATATTATCATTCCCAAAATACTTAATATCTTCCTTTGTAGCTTTTAAAATTACTCTCTTTTTTTTTTTTAAACAATGTAGAAGAAGTCAAGTAAAAATCTTCTGCCAACACATTCCTACACAGAGGCACTTCAAAAATACTCCTGATAAACTTGTGCTGTAACATATCTAAAGGCAAGGAAGTCACAATATTATCTGGACATGAAGTACCTCTAGACCACACCGTGTCTTTCAGTAATGCGAGTGCAATGTCAAATACTTACTGATGTCGTCCTCGTGATAGATGACGGAGTGGAATGGCACGTTCTGGTTCTTTAGGTACCTCTCGGAGGGTTCCACGTAGTATGTTCCTTGGTGAGTTTTAATGAAGCCCTCAAAGCGCCCGTCGACCACAGAGCCATGGGTCAGTGTTCCCTTTTCACCTGAAGCACAAAAGAGGATGAGGATGAGCAGAGGCAGACAACACATAGTCTTTGTCTGTAAAGAAACTTGAAGATCTATGTAATATACGTCTATATATACAATACACAAAGAAACTGATCTAAATATTCAAGCAGTTTAAGAAAAGATATCTGTATATCAATTTCACAAAAAAGACAAGAGGTATTTGCATGGAGTATGACAACTCTTGCATTGTTTGCATTAAAGAATGGCTATGGTTACAGTGACCTTTAATGATTGAACTGGCACAACTTTTGTGATAAATAAAGGGAATGGTGCAGAAAGTGTATCGGCTATTTGTGTGGTTAATTAGAATCTGTAGCATTCCCAAATGTTGGAACAATTCAAACTATACAAAGCAGGATGATGCCGCTCAAGCTGCCACATTGTGATTGCCAGCATTCGTGAAACGTCTCACATGAAATTTCAATGTGTGGTCAAAAACTAAATGTTGTGTAGATTCCCACAGCTATATTTTCGAACTCAAGCTATTTCTTAGCTGATAAGGATGCTTATTGTGAGGGCGCCTTCCTGAATAAGAGAAGTATAACTCTCTCCGTTTCTTGGAACCCTTTCTCTTTGTTTCACAAACACTCATCACAACAGGACGAACAGACTTGTTTTCTCTCTTGTTCATTTGAACTCGGCTGGAGACAGGCAGCAGGAAGACGTCCAGGACGGGAGGGGATTAAGAGCGGAAGGAGGAACTGGATGAAAGGTAAAAGCACGCCCTGTGTGTGTGGATTTGTGATGTGATAACTGGACAAAAACAACCTTACAGCTTTTCTCTCATACACTACTCAATTATGCTCAGGTAAAATGTTGGACATCAAACTCAAGTCGCTAAAGGGAATATAAGGGATAATGTAGGGATGATACAATGAAAATGATGGTACAGACTTTCAATTGAATTGAAAATAAAATCAACTTTTGAAACATTTGCATTGAAGAAACTGTGCTTCTGCCCAGGATGTGGTGTGCGAAAACAGCTGGACTTACCAAAGATCTCCCCACTGTAAATATGTGATGTATCAATGGGTGTCTCCTCCCCCGATACCTCAATGATGAGATCTGGGGAGAATAGAGTTGTATCTCTCTTCATCCGCAAGTTAAAATGTCTGAGGAGAAGAACAGGAGAAAACGTGTAACTAGTGTGTACTTTGACACACTGACATGTGGGTCACACGATACACACCCTCAACCCTGGTACTGTTTATACCAAAGTATAGAGCAGGGGTATTCAATTAAAATTCCAAAAGGTCCAGATTGAGAAAATCTCCTCGGGCAAAGGTCCGGAACATTACAATAATATCTAACTTGTGCTATTTAGTGCCATATATATATATATTCAAGAAGTCTAGTAGTAGTACCGTCTCTGTGTAGTCAACAACTGTCAAATCAAATAAAGAAAGTACACATCAATTATATTTTAACAATTATTATTCTCAGTTTTCAAATCTAACTGGATGGATTATAAATAATACATAGAAATACATAAATACATGTTCTCTAATTTCAAGTAAAATAAGAGCTGCATTAAAGAATAACTGACATAACAGAAAGCTTTTCAAAAATGTGCATCTTAAAATAAAGTAATTCATTTTAGAGACATTAATTTCACTGAATTGCCCTGCAGCTTTAAATTCAGTTCATTCAGGTGTGAAGTGATGCCAATCAAAAAAGCCACGATATTATATTTTTCTCATCTTCTAAAAAGAGAAATCAGTGAGCATGGACTTTATCTGTGGGTATTAAACAACTTGTTTCAGCTCTATTCTCTCTGTTAACATCATTGTTGGTCAGTGAATTCATGTGTTAGGATTCTGATCATATTGGACTCTTAGGTTTATTTTCTGTGTCTTCATTTAGATGCGAGTGGGTACGTTTGCTCAAAAGAGTTGTGCTTTGTCTCGTAGTGTCACTTCATTTACCGCTTTTAATAATCGTCACGGTCTCTGAACATATGAGACACACTGGTTTTAAACTGTCCGTGTGAAGAATTAACCTATAAGCGTCTGTTCATTCTTGGTTGAAGACTCTGGTCTCTCTGACCACTTTTCTCTTTTTGGAGAACATTATGTGAACTTCTCTGACTCACGTATTATTCTCCTGCTCTTCCTTCTCTTTCCTCGTCTCTCCCCCGGGTGTGTACATCTCACTCCAGTCAGGAAAAGTTCAGAATACCCATATTTGATTGGATGAGCTGCATCACGTGATGTGACTTACAACGCATTGGTCGGTGTGTTTCCTGCACCGCTGAACAAGTGCCGTAAAGGCTGAAAAAGCTGCGCCGGTTAAAATAGAAGGGCTCTGTCAAAATAAAATCAATTTTAGGTCCTGGGTCCAGATACAACGGCGTCTGTGTCTGGATCCGGACCGCGGTCTGCCAATTGGCGACCCCTGGTATAGAGCATGACACACTCTGTAAAGATGTGATGGAATACACAGAATTGAGCAGAAAAGGCAGCATCATTCACACATTTTCTGCTGAGCTTCACAATGTTGCTGTGCTGGTTGTTGCTCACTGAGTTAGAAGAAGAATTATGTCATGAGGAAAAGCACATGAACATTTGTGCACAGCCATACTACTTTTTTTTTTTTTTTAAATAATCCTCTCGTTAACATAAAACCATGATGTCAAAGAACAAAAAGCATCACATGAGGTGCACATGAGCCACTAGCCTCGCAGAACCCTGAGGCAATGTAGGGAGCATTTCAGAGGCATCCTCTTCATCAGGACTCTCACAAGTAATCACAAGGATTGGTCTCAAGCTGTGAGCTTCTCAAAAATGACTCAAATGATGTTCACATGGCTACCTCATACTGAGCCCTTTATGGATTCTACCATTTTTAATTTCTTATATTAGCACAATTCGCAAAAAGACAAAAAAACATTATAGGGAATGACCGTCTAATCATAGACGGTCATAGATTAGACCGTCTAATCATAGAATGACATAGATTAGACCGTCTAATCATAGAATGACCGTCTAATCTTTTTTTTTTTTTGTTTTTTTTTTTAAACCGCCTGTCCTTTCATAGGCAGGTAATTAGCCACATATAACCAGTGATTAGCATTGGCAGACAGGTTTACATCTTTAAGGAATCAAACGAGTGTAGTCACTGCCTCGTGACTGCCTGTTTTTGAATCATTTATGTATTGTATAAGTCCATCTCCAATAACACTGGATCCTACATTAGCACAAAACAAATAAACATTTAGTTTGAAGCCCCCTGTCTGGTTTAAGAAAGCTGCAGAGATGATGATTTTTGCAGGCCAACCTCAGAAGTTAGCATCGCACTGGTTCCCTCGACAAAAAAAAACAACGGAATTATTCCAGTTGATTTTAGACTATTGAAAGAAATAAGATCGGTGGCAAACACAAGTTTAGGATACTTACATGTTTTGTTTAACAAGATAATCTTTACAAATAAACACCACTTTTGATTTTTGAAGCATGAATGCACTCAGCAGAAATAAAAAGCTAATGTTACGCTACGTATGCTATAAAGTAACTACACCGCGGTCGCATTAGCGTGAGTATATTGAATATTTATATTTTAATATATTTGCAGAGGTACGTGTGTTCAGGAGGAGAAGAAGGGCCGAGGACATAAAGGCAGACTTACTACACTGAAGGAAGAAGTTCATGAAAACATTAAAAGAGCAAAACCAAAAGAAACTGAGCACAAGAGACAGGCAGCAGAATGTGGGGAGAACATATTTGTGAAAAGGTCAGACACAGTCCAGGATATCCCAGCACAGGATGACTCACTGACCTGCCCCAGCATTCAGTTTTTATTTTAGAAAAAATATGAATTCTAAATCTATCTAGCGCTCCGATAGTGCTGCATTCCTATGTGAGTGCACTGATAAATAAATGTAGGACTTCTGTTAAATTTTGAAAAGGCTATGTTGTTATTTATTGATGATAAATGATCCTTGGTTTCATTCCCACCTTTTCCTGTCACTAAGACAATTCAACTGTGCAATTCAACAGTAAAATAAAAGGTCCTTAGATTGAAGCTTTTGCCACCTTAAAAATCTTGTTTTATGAACTGGAATTCTTAAGTCTTAAGTCAGAAGATCATTTCAAGTCAAGATAATTGTGGAACAAAGACTCTTTGAAGTCAGAATGGTGACACAGAGATCACCCGGAAACAGATTTAGACTATAGTATAAATTCCTCTGCTGGTTAGTCATCCTGGGACACCCGTTACAGTTCTTGGCCTCTTTCTACCTTATCAGTGGCCACTACAACAATCAATATGACCTCATGACTTCACTCTTGGCCAAGCAAAAGCTCACTCATCCCGTGATACCATCATGGCACGCTGGTCACAGACCCAGATGAATCCATAAGTAGATTATTTAGTCAGAAATGTAATCTGCATTATCAGGGATCGGCGAAGGCATTCTGAATGTTCATCGTCAGTGACTGTTGTCCATTACAGCATTTTTACATAACATTTTTGAGAGAGAACCATCTCCAAGCAAGAGCCATTCTATATATTATACAATTATATAACTAACCTAGTTTATTTAAAACTACATTGTGCAACTTTTTTTTACATTTGATCATACAGATCCTCCTCCAAATAACTGAGGACCAAAGGAAGTCAGTAACATCATAACCACAGAATCCCCATATATTTAGACAATGATTCAAACCTTAACACCAAGCCTGTGCTACATCAAAGTTGCAAGTTATCGCCCAGAGCCCATTATGAACCTATAGTATGAATACTGAAATCCAGGGCGAAAATCCAACACCCCTGGACTCAGTTACAGATTGCCTCCAGTCTATGTCCAACCTTTTGAACTAAACCACAATAAGTAAGTACCCCGCATATTCCCTGACACACAAGGGGCTTGAGCACAAAGATGGACTAGCTTCTTTATTTTGTGTTCATGGGGTCTACTACCAATGAATAAATGTACAATCTCATGATGCTCATATTAGTTTTCTCTCAGGAAAAACACAAACTTGCAGAACCCCCCAGAAGGTCACAGATGTTTTGTCTGAACTACTTTTGCATTGCCTCGCTTTAATTTTACACATATACAAATATAACTATAAAGGATATAAAATACAAGGTAAAAAAGGTTTGCATTCCCTCGCAATATTCGCCCTGATGCACATGGACATTAAGTGTGTTGGTCCAGTCCAGTTATACGCTGCCAGTTCAGAGAAACGCTCTGCAGATACTACAGAAAGGAAAGATGACGTGACACTTTACATTATGCATTTATTGCTCATTACTGCTTTCAAAGGGCTGAGCTCCAACACTATACAGCCTCTGGCTGGGAGAACAGCTGCAGCAGCTTTGCCTGGCTATGGCGGGTGAAGCTGTGGCAGTGGATATTGTAGCTAGTGTAACAACACTCATAAATCAATGTGTCACAGCCACAATCATAACAGCCAAAGCACACCACAATCACAATAGCATACCATCAGCCAGAGCCACATCATCCCATGGCTATAGTCATAATCACAGCTACACAGCAAGCTATACACAACACATAATACTAAATCATAAAGCAGCCCAGGGTCTCTCTATGGATCAGAGGGAATCCAAAACCTATTTATTAATAAGACACAATTTCAGGGAAAACAATGATGTACAAAGAAATCACTGAACAGTTAAAAAGGACCCCAAACGGTTAATGGTTTTACAAACTGAAAAAGAAAATAAAAGAGGAAATCACGGCATCATGTTCCAGACAAATAACCATGGTTGCAACAGGTCTGTCTCTTTACAGGAAGAGGAAAGGTGGTGGATGAAGCCAGTGTTACTCATCACACAGAAGCAGCTGACTGATAAATTATTCAGACATATCCCAAATGCTGAACATACTGACTCAAGCATCGGACAGTCATACACTTTGCTCAGAGAGCAGGCCGGCCTAAAGAGATGGAGTGCCGTCAAGCCATGTCTACAGAGATGGTGTGCCTACAAAGAGGCCAATATACATACATTTAAAACTGTATTTTATCTATTAACAATCAACCACACCTCACAACGTATAACTATACATCTATGTTGGTGCTTTTGGTCTGTTAACTACACAATCACTGAACTTTCACCACTAAAGTAAGCACACAAATTTACCCTGATTTGAATTGGCTCGGTCTGAATAGCTATGAACTATGATTACAATTAGAGAGCAGATAATAAGTTAAATGTGTGATTACTCCCTATGCGAGTGATAATTTAACTTCAGAATCATTAAGGGTATTGCGTAGCCTGCTACGTGAGCATGGGCCTCCAAACATTACTGAGCTTCTCTTATTGCAAATCATTAATATCTTGAATTGATGTATTTTCAAGGGGAAAATGAATTTCACAAATCACAAATATTCTTGGAAAGCTGGACACTAAACTGAACTGAATCGTGTCACTTCCCCCAGCATTGTGTTATAGCCAATACTACTTTTTTGGCACCTCTCTTGGTAAAGAGACAGCTATCTGCCCTGCCTTGTTCCATCACCTGATCCAGCTACAAATACTCATGTGAGCGGGCATACACAAGAAAGCGTTTCTCTTGTTACAGCAACCCTCTATAGTGCCACACAGTCCTGCCTTGGGTTTTCCCTGAGGGGAGGGTGTGTGTCTGTGTTTGCACATGCTGCACACACACTGGTAAACGTGACGAATACATTGAGATACTTGCTTTATCACCATCATGGAAAACACAAATGCAAATGTGCAATGTATGATGTTAGTCAACCCAACAAACGACAGCCTTAACACCAGAGTTGAATCAAAATCTCTCTGCGACATTATAAAACAATAAAAATGTAATACCGTAAGCATCAGACAGGTGATATTTGTTTCAAGACTTTGATGTCGGCTTGCTTAAGCTTGTGCAAGGGTATACGCTATTGTGCTGCAGATAACTGGACCATTTATAACTGGAGCCAGTAATGTGAAGCTAAACCTTGTTTCCTTCCTTGTGGACATCAATAAATATTCAAAATATTTGTCATAAATGTCAAGCCAGAGGGACTATTACCTGCTCATGAATCTCTCATCATCTAGTCTTTTCCTGTTCAGTAAACCCGGGTGGAGTACACTATATTGAAATTATAAAGCATCCATGAGAGTTTGTTCACAGCATGTAAATATACTGCAGGTCCAGTCAGCCAAGATTCTGAAACTGCATCATACTGGAAACCATCTCCAATTCAACTCCCTCTACAAAACAGTGTTAATGTCCTCTTTTGACACTACAGTATTACGCTGTGGTTACCTCACTGATACAGGCAGTACCAGCTGTTTCTCCCAGGCCAGCAAAGACAGGAAAGAGCACAATAACACAGGAAGGGGATCGGTTTGACAGGGCCTTGATAACCCACAACAAACCTGGCTTGGTAAAGAGGAACACAGGGGGAGCTTGCTGAAAAAAACAGTGCTGCTGAGGTAAATTATTGCAATATTTAAAAAAGGGAAAGCAGACAGATGAGAGTGAGATAGAAAGGGACAGATGGAAAGAGTCTCACAAAGACATCTGCTAGATCACAGTGAACATATTAAACTATAACTTCTTCATATTCTTGTCCTACTGGATGCCATTAATTTCCAGATGCTTCGCACGCACGCACGCACGCACGCGCACACACACACACACACACACACACACACACACACACACACACACAC